CTATTAGCAGACATGAGCTGGCAAATCAATATTAACTGATAAGATGGACAGAGAGAGAAAGTCTCCAGGGTTCACAAACAGGTTTGGACACACCAGGTTTATTCCAAAAGGTCAATATGGTGTTTACTTTAGGTCTAAGGTCAAAGTTTTTTGTCAATATGGGCTTTTTTTTTGGTTGTTTTTTGTGTGTTACTTGTTTGATATTCGTCATAGAAATCTCCATCTTTATGTAACAGTTTCTTTTGAATAAATGAAACGATTCATTCCTTCACTTCCGACACTGCTGTCGCCTAACAGTGGACGCAAACTGGTATCTTAAATGTCACAGGCAATAAGGGCCGTTCCATATTATGTTAGAAATAGGTCACACCATGTGCGGTTTGGCTACGTCAAAAAGTGTTTGCAGTTGTTTTCAGTGGCCACATACGTCACAGTGATCGCATGAAATGACAGAGGTGCGTTCAAACCCCGTCTTCTTCTTTACCTTCACACATCTAGCCCGTCGCTGTGAAACGATAACGGGAAATGAACAGAAAATGTTGGAAAACAGTTGAGAGGAATTATCTAACCAGCTAACCTAGCACTTTGGATGTAGTATAAAGTTGCCCTTATTCAGGAGAGTCGTTGTATGTGATTATTTGTTCCAGACTAGAGGGAATACCTCAGGACTGAGGTTGAAAAAATAGTTACCAGCCACCACACCTTTTCTGGGAACACTCAGTCCTCTGTGCTTACTTTACCCTACAGAAGCAGAACATTAAAAATCAAACTTCTCTATGGAACATCAAAATCAAGAAATAGATTCCTAACCCTTCCATATGGTAGCAGTTTCAAACTAGATATGAATAGCATGAACGCAGCCTTCCAGGATAGTCTGTTCATATGCTCTCAACATGTGAAAACGTGATATTCGATTCCAGCGCAACAGCAAGGGAAATTTACAGAAGGGAGGAGGGAGTTGTCGTCCACATGTCACACATGATGATTCGTCCCAAGTGCAAACAATGACAAACTGGATGATCTGAAGGAGCATGCGTGCCTCTGTCACACTCTCTCATATGTTGTTATAGTTCTTGCTGCAGGGACACAAGTGAATGTTAAGCCATCCACAGATGACACGCCTCACCAGTAGCTATGGTTAGGCTGTCATAATTCTTTGCAGATTCAGAACGCTTTGATTTCTGTCACTGTTCTTAGGCAGCAGAGGCAGATGGACTTCACTGGTTTAATGGACAGTTTGGTATTTTTTGCGCTCATGAAAAAGAACTTTTAGCTCCGTGAGCTTCAGCTGTCCTTATCTGTTATCAGTACATATTCAGACTGTTTACAAAACGAGTTGCAATCATAGCAAGATCTCTCATTGGGGATTCCAGTCTTGGCTGTATGGCTCTTCACAGATAAGACTTTAGAGATAACACTTTATTGTTCATCCATCTATCATAGGATTTCATGTTTTGGCAATTGTGAAATGACTGGAAAGTGTAAGCAAACCTAAGGTTAGCAAAACTGTTTTGTGCTTTAAAAGTTTCACGAGTTTTAGAAAGCAGGGATTGTCCGAGGTAGTAACACTGTTCTTCTAGGTCTTGGTGATATTTCTGGTTGGAATGTGGCGTTTGTTCATCGGGTGTCATCGTGTTACTTAGCAACCTCCGACCAATAGGTTAAAATGGCTAGTTTCTAGCATTTATGAATAGTAACACCTTATAAAAGTGTCATATGATACTGATTTTATAACAGTAACATCTAATTTAACAAATATTGAGTATACTCATTTTTGACATCTCCAAAGTGTGCCATATTAGTCCAGTGTTAGTATTAGTATTACATCATTTCACAGGGTAACTTAGTAAGTCAAGTTAACTGTACTTAGGAACCATATCAAAAGGTTGTCAGATAACTGTATGCATGTATTTTAGGCTACGTGATCTAATCCAGCTTTCAAAGTCACCTTTGTTTCAGCATTTTATGCATTTTTGTCTGGTGCATGTTGCTGATGTGCAGGTAAACCATAATTAAACGATAACTTAATGAAAATTAAGGTATGAAAATCTCCTTTCCTACATGGATGTTTATTTGATTGAGCAAAATCTTGCATTCTAATTTTTTATTATGCACTCAATGGAGGTGGTCAGTGTCTGACTGAGTGTAGTAGTTGAGCATTGATGCATGCATGCAGGTAAATAGAGTTTGCTGCATGTAAACATACAATGAGGCCCATATTTATGTCGATTTCTATAAACTATGTCTACCACCCTGTGGCCCTGTGACAGACTGGCGATCTGTTCAGGGTGTACCCTGCCTCTCGCCTCTCTATGACACCATACAGTTTGTTATTTAATCTGTTACCCAGAATATTGCTTTACCTTCACCTAGTGGCAGGGTACCCAATTGCTTCTTAACAGGAAGTTTTGTGGCCGGTTGTAGCACAATTTTTAAAGCAAAGTGCATCATAAGAAGAACAGTTTGATTCTTAGTGACTCATTCTGTTGACCTGCAAACAACTAGCGGCCATTTCTGCTGACTGATAACTTTTTGTTCATTTTAATTGTTTAAAGCCCAAGAGAGGCTGGCAGGCTACTGGTGTCAGGTATGAACCAGCTGGTTCAACTTCTCCTTAACAGCTACCGTTGTACATCCAAACTGCCTCATTAAATTGAATTTGTGGTTTCAGGTGGAGGAATGTGGTTGCAATTTGCAGCTACTGTGACGTGTGTGACTTCTTTTTGACGTAAGCACGCCAGAACAACTTTGCACTAACTTTTAGAATGTTTACAAAAAAATGTTGAAAGTAACTTTAGTCATTTGAATTAAGCTTATATTTTTAATGTATGTGTTATTGAATATTTTTGAGATTATCTTGAAGGGATCTCCACAAATATAATTGCTAAGTATCATATGATGTACATAGCACTTACTTAGAAACACGTGCTGACAGAGGACAACTAATGATTTACTTGCAAGTTGTTTGGTATTTGCACCCAGTCACATCGAGTTGAGAGGTTTGGGCTTCACTAACAATAAAGATATACAGAGAAGTTAAAGTTGATGGTGCCAACGATGTTTTGGTCAAAATGGGAGGTTAATAAACCCTCGATCCATGATGGAAACGTCCCTCGTGGCCTCTTGTCAGCCACCTGATTTCAACATACTTTGTTATTCTCCCGCTACAGACATGCAGTTAAAGCGGGAGAGTAACAACGTGTACTCTCTAATCTGGAAGAACCACATGATTACCTCAGCTCTTATTTAGGCAATCACTTTAGCAAACTTTAAGAATAGCCAGAGTGTGGTGGCAAACACCAGCAGTAGGTGGGCTCTGCCAGTTAAATGACAAAGTGTTCCCAAAACATTGACTGGGGACATGCTAATGGCTCAAAATGTGGGTAGAGATATCAGCGTGAGCAATGATCAACCTTTACTGAACCCAGTGAGAAGAGAACTGAGAACATGAACTCTTACACCCTGTTCTGTACAAACCTATCAGTAAATAAGTGAAGTTTCAATTCCAGGATTGAAACTTATTATTATTACTCAAAAAAACACCTAAAAGAAAGAAGAATCGGAAGATTCAAAAAAGGATAAATATCTGTATTTGTAGATGCTTGTAGCAACTTTGCAATATTTTCAGCCACATATTTCTTACTAAAAACCTTCATTTTAAATGAGCAAAGTTGGTGGACTGGTCCTTTGGGTTTATGTTTTTTTAGTTGTAGGCTGGAACTGAGGCAGATACAGATCATTGAATGGATTGGCTGAAGCCAGCACGTGTCTTTGCCTCCGACGGATACTTCAAGTCTTTGTTTTGTTTGCAGTGCTAATCATGTGACCTCAAACTCTGACCTCAGACACTTTGGTTGGTAGTTGCTTTTCAGCTCGGCTCAGAAGTTTCTTTCCCAACCCCCGAATCTGTGTCTTCGGGGGTTGATGCTTAGTCACAGGTGATTAGCCGAGCATGTGTGTGAAGACACCCCCCCCCCCCCCCCCCCCCCCCCACACACACACACACACACACACAGTTTAGCTTTCACAGAAATTGTCTCTCCTGTGCATTTTTCTGCTTCATCATTTTTCTTCTTTGTGTCAAACTTTTGGGATGAATTTGATTTTACTTGCATTTAAAGTGAGATTATTATTACTGCTTTCTTGCTCTGGTACATTTTGAAGTTTCTCACATGATCTCACACACACATTGCTCAAGATTTGTCAGGTTGTGCTCGCCTTGCTAACTACTAGACGAGTGGTAGTGAAACGTGAAAAAGTGCAACAGAGATGGTAAAAAGTTGAGACGATAAGAGATAAAGTTGTGCAGAGCTGCAGGTGACATATTTCAAAAGCAAACTGTCCCCGTTTCCCATTTTAGGTTATACTTGTCACAGTTTCACTACAAACTGGACAGCAGCTAGTCCTTATTTGCAGCCAAGTATGCGGACTAATAATGGCTCGTGTGGGCTCAAGTAAATTTTCTGATTTTATTTAAACATTAAAACACAGTAAAGTATCGTATAAACGAAGACTTTGTAGCAGTTCAGCATTTGGAGTCTATATTTAAAACATATCTTTTCATGTTCAGCATTTACAAGCTCAGTGCCCGATGTTCTGAGGAAGAAAATAGTGTCTTTTTACCTTAAGTGATCTGTACATGTGTGTGTTTTCTTCTATTTGAACTGCATTACAAAGTAAAAAAAACCCCATCTCTGACACAAACATGACCTTGGGCACGCCGACATCCAGACAGTGAGCCATCTGATTGGTCAGCCTGTGGCACGGCCTACTACTGAAAACACTGACAGTCGCCTACAGTATGTCTGTGTCTGGGCATCTGTGTGCCTGCTGCATGTGCAAGCAATTTTGTGTGTGTGTGTGTGTGTGTGTGTGTGTGTGTGTGTGTGTGTGTGTGTGTGTGTCAGAGACCAGTCCAGACAGCAGTTTTCTGTGACCTAAATCATACAGACCACCTGTGTTTGATCTGTATGATTTAGGTCCATTTATAAGTGGTCATGTGTCCTGTCATGTGGTCGTGTCTTGAAGCTGCTGAGGGTATTTAAGAGTTGGTGCACGCTGGTATCTTCAGTCCGATGCCGATGATCAAACTGGCCACGTTACAGTGTAGCTCTATCCGTCCTTCAGTGAGTGTATATAGTTTATTCTCCGTGTGCTCTCCTCGATTATATTTGTTGAGTCAGATGTGTATATACATGTATGCATACCAAGTGGGTGGTGTTGGTGGAGATTGGGAGTGAGCTATCAGGGTTACGACCCCGCTTATGACTGATCAAAAAAGGAGGAGTCTGAGCAAACTGCGCATCCTGATTGGCTGACAGAGGCCCTCCTTCCTCTCTTTTAAAAGCTTCCTGTCTTACCTGAGTCACAAAAGGGCCAGAGCACCTCACCCATCCACTCGTCTCTCTTCTGTCTGTTTTTCTTCAAATCTATTCATTCAAAAAGGGAGGACAAACAAGGAACCTTCCTAGAACTGCTTTAAGAAACCTTTCAGTAAGTGAGCTTGTTTGTTTAGGGAGATTTTTTTTCTTGAAAAAGTGAGCCATGCCATGCACAGCAGGTAGGACCTCTGTTGTGCAAATGTTGAGTGGGGGGTAAAACAGAAACACGTGTAATGTTTGCTTTCAAGGAATTTTCTGTGTAACACGTAGCAGTTTAAAGCATTGACTTCACTCACTTAGCTATAAAGGGGTGTGTTTGCTCGTGCCAAGACTTGTAGACCGTGGCTGATGCAACAGCTTGTGTGTACACTGAAGGCGAATGGTTTCAGACTAAATAGGTAAAGGGCTCTCATTCTAAATTTACAAATTACTGTATTTTTTTAAGCCTGGCTTCTTTTCCTTTTTTGCCAAACACTTTAGATAAGACCAATATCTTATCTTAACATGACTGCATACAGTCTATATCACTATAGCAGACATTCTATATATGAGAAGAAACTTAAAATGACTGCTGCTGTGTGATTTGCCTTGAAACATGTTGAAAGAACCAAGTCAAAATCTTTAAATGCATATTGTATGAACTGTGTGTTGTCTCTGGAGTCTTTAAAAATGTTTTGGCCTCAGGAGTGAGATAGATGGGTCGGGTTTGGAAAAGAAATGAACAAATTCCAGCAACCTATAAAGATTAATTTTACCGATGGTGGGAAGTACTTAATGTGGGTTTCTATAAGTAATGGTTGTATCAACACATCATTTTAACCCAGCTTGACAGGTTAATCCTCTTGGCTGCAGAGAGCGAACCCCAGTCTCCATTTCCCTCTAACAGCACGGCAGACAAGGACTTTGAGAGATTAGGTGTAGCGGCGTGTGTGATGTGGCTTTTAACGATGACACAGCCACCTAATCTCTGTTGGCTCAAAACTATTATGGCTTTACTTCACAGAAAGTACAACAACCTGTCAGTAACAATAAGTTTTTGTGAAAGAAGGTCTCAACTGCATCGGCCAGGACATTGAACACCCCTGGTAGTGTATCTAAAAGAGCTCAAGTTTTGACTGCAAACGCTTGTTTACACTTTGAAGTGGCTCAACCGCTTCCCTCTTTAAAAGCTGTTGCTTAAGTTGCAGGTCTTTGTATTTCTATCAGCTGTCCTTAAGACTGACCACTTGCGGATGGATGGTAGCTCAACTATGTTTTTACTGCTCCACTTGATCATCACCAGGTGGTTGTGGGAAGGTTTTTGTTCATCGTTGATGTTACAGTTGTTGTCGTATTGTGGCATTATCAGAAATTTGCATGAAAAACCCAATGATTGGTTTAAAACATAAGACCTTTTTAAACAGAGAGAAACACTGTTTGATTCAGTGCAAAGAAGCAAAGCTATCATTATGCATAAAGGTAATCAAGGTAGAATAAAGACCTGTCCATATCTAGTTAGTCATTACAGGAAGTGTTTGTGAACTAAAAATCACGAATGTGGGATACTGTTTGTCCGTGATTTAAACAGCCCAGTGCGTGCTCCCAACAAAGGGAAAACCAATTCTGCAGGGGAGACCTACCTCGGCACTTGTGCAGGTGAAGCCAAAGGGAAGATATGCTTCACCATATTTTCTAGTCTTTGGCTTAGAATGAAGTTGGTTTGGAAACACATTCAGCGATGCTTCATCTCCTGCTTTGCGTTTCTGTAGGCGCCCGTGCTAGCAGTGTCCAAGCGTTTTGTTTTTTTCCCCCCTTTTCATCCCGTGCCCCCCCTGCCATGGCTCTGCGCCCCCCCTAGGGGGCGGGCCCCATACTTTGGGAAGGTCTGCATTAGTGTATGTTAAGTTCATGGCAGAAGAAAGAGCTGTGTGAATAGGTAAATGTGGTTTGCCGAGCTGTTCCTTTAACTTTACATTAACATATTTGTTCTTCTCAATGCATTACACCACATCATTACTGCTGCGAGTGCCGTGAAACAAAAGAGGATGTCAGAAGTGTCCTTTCTCATGGGTTCATCGGTGTCACGGCTCTGGCTGGTCCTGTACACGTTGCATTAGTTTTTCATTAGTGAGTCGCCCTTAGGCTCTTTTCTTCCAACTCAGTCAAAGAGCTCTTTGTGTGAGGGGGGAAACAGCACTGTAAATCACGTTGCTGCTATTTTCGTTTATAATCACGTTGTCTTCTTTCAGTGTGTTGAGCTCCTTCTTACATAACTTAAACACTACAGAAATTGAAGGCGGTGCCCCTAAGTGGAGTGTCATTTCTTTTCTTTGATGTTAAGGGTTAAGTTGTGTAAACCAGCTCATGCATTATCAAGGGCGCAGCTGATGGTGGTCCGACGACCCCACGGACATGCTATATCCATGACCTAGTTTCACGTCACTGGAGCTGACTCGACTCCGCTCAGCAGTCATTATGTACGTCAGCACTTGGTTGTGATATCTTCCTAAAGAGACAAGAGATACAAATAACTTTAGTCATTAACACAACTAATTGAGCCTGTGTGAAATGTAAAAGGCAATAAAATTAACACAAAGTCACCCTTCCTGGTACAGGTGAAGCTGCGTAACAAGTGCCAAGGCACATATAATCTCTTAGGAAGCCCCTCAGTTCCAGGAAATGGTTTCCAGAGTAGAGGGCTCCATTTTTACCTTAAAGGATTTTTTTATTCTTGTGGGAGTGGTCTTCCCCCGGGGCTTTCTACAAGAAACCCTTTCTGCCATAAAGTACTTGGATAGTTAAAGGTTAAACATCATGGTTAACCATGTTTAAGTTGAAGTTTGCCTTCAGGGCTTTCTGCCAAAAAGGCTTTCTGTGTGCCTTCCTCATCATGGCCAAAAACCTGATAAGGGCAGATAATAAAACCACTGACAGCCCCTGTAATCAGTTATTCCAGTTCTTGGAACAGTTTAAGACCAGCAAAAAAAGGAAAGCAACATATAAACAGACAAAAAGCCAATTCTGTTACTGAAACTTTGTCTTGTTTTTCCTTTATTGTTTCAGGACTTTTCTCAACGGTAACAAGATATAGCTGAGGTGATTGACAAGGTTCTTGTATCCTGTGCCAGTGAAGTCTAAACCCTGAAAATCCTAGAAAGGTACATTTCTCTGCCTCTGGTCCTGCTCTCTGTACCACTATGCCGGGAATTGTGGAACGCATGGAACTGAGGAAAGTCTCCACAGTGGCTGACGACGACAGCCTTGATGAACAACTCACAGAGCCCACCGACTGTGAGAAGGCCACCATGAGCAGGTCAGTGACTGTGATGTCTTTCTTAATATCAGTAGACTAGAGAAGGCTGGATTTTTGTGGGCAAGCCTCTGGTTATGGCAAACTAATCACAAGCGGATCTTTGAACTCCTGCTTTACCATGATTGGGTATAAATTGGTGTGCATTGGTGCGTCAGAATAAATGACAGAAGTTGTAAATTGGTGTCAAATAATCAGTGTAGACAGCTTCTTCTCTGCTCGTTGCACAGAAAGGTGATTAAATCATAAATCGTAACACGGTAATGTTTTCAATGAATGACTCTCTGTGTTTGCATCACTTCAGGACACCTGCTTGGGATGTTTGATCTGTTTCTAAGAATAAATTGCATATGTTTTAGTCTGAAGCAGCACAGTGAATCTTTTTACACATAGCTTCCATATATAGTTGAGACGTGGACACACAAATGACCTCAGACAAGTGGCATAACCAGTTCAGCTTCTTTTCTGTTGCTTGTACTGGCACTTGCATATAGACATAAAGATTACATCTGTTAGCAGTTTGCTAAAAAAAGAAAAGAAAAGCTAAACATAGCACAGAAAGTTGATATACATTTGAACTGAACCACTGTGTTTGTGTCCTAATGCATATCTTTTTCAATCCTATCAGTCAGTATAATGTGGATGATAATGACGATGGAGAAAGCAATGTGTTCCTGACAAATGGGATACCAAAGAGGCAGAAGTATGATAATAAATACTCTATATTACTAACACATGTCTATGGGAAGCTGGATTTTCAATCTCTCTGACAAATCTTTCACCAACAGCACCAAAGCCTTTGGTTTGCTGCACATTGACAGTGTAAACTTAAAGCTAACACTAATGAAATAAATAAAAGTCTTTGTCTGGTGAAGGTTGGTGTGTTTGAGGACAACCGCTTGACAAAAGCTATAGACTACTTTATTTTCTTTTGCTTGCACTTAAGACTTGCAGTTAAACATAAACACTACAACAGCTATTGGCAGCTGGTTACAAAAAAGATGTGCCACAGTTGACGTATATTTGAACTGAACCATTAGCTACATTTGCATGTCCCTACGTATAACTTTCAATTCAATTCAATTTTATAGAAGACCCTACAATAATACATACAAACATTCTGTTGCTTTCTCTATTCTGCCAGTGAATATAACATGGATGATATGTTCCTTCCAAATGAGATACGAAGGAGGAAAAAGTATGATAATAAATAGTTTTTCCTTCTACTGGTGAATCTTTCACCACCAGCAGTACCAGGCTTTGGTTTGCTTGCACATAGCATCCACTAAGACTAGCAGACTTGGCAAACACTAATGAGTCATAGAATAAATATAAACATATTTTATTACTCATTTTAGGTTGGTTTATACAGATTATTACAGATTCTTGTCCATTCTTTTCTTTCTGGGCATAGGTTGGTGTCCAACTTCTTTTCTGTTGCTTCCACTGACACTTGCATTTTAACATAAAGACTACAGCTGATGGCAAGTGGTTAAAAGCAAATTGTGGGGCAGAAAGTTGATTCATATGTGACATTAACCATTAGCTGTGTTTGCATGTGCTAATATATATCTTTCTCAATCCTCACAGTCAATTTATGGATGATAATGAAGACGGAGAAGGACAAAGGTGATAATAAGAACTTTATAAAACTAGCACAGGACTATGGGAGGGTGGATTTTTCCTTGTGTCTGACAAATCTTTTACAGAAGGTTCAGATTCATGACAAATAACCAACATAGATAGTCCAGTACCTTTTCTGCTCCCTGCACTTGTGCTTGCACTTGCGAAGTTACTCCTCATTTGGCATGTCTATCTTTTGGCTTTAAAGCGGCAGATTAATTGCATGTAAATAATGTGTTTATCAGGGTGAGGCACACTGGTGGTTATTGAATTGGGAAGGTGTTTCAGTCCAGCTAGCTACTTTCTGCTGCTCCCTTGCCACAGCAGGTAGCTAGTTTTTTTAAAAAAAACTGAGTTGTTAGAGTTGATGCGTTTTTAAGAACAAATGAAGAAAGGCATAGGTGTAAAGAGGTGCAGTTACAATTTTTACGTTTACATTTAAAACCCTGACACACACAAATGTCGTCAGATAACCAGCATAACCAGTCCAGCTTCTTTTCTTTTGCTTGCATTTACACTCGCACTTAAACGTAAAGACTACGGCTACAGATTTAGGTAGTTAACAGTAAATTGTAGCACATAAAGTTGATACAGAGACTGCATGTGCTAATGTATATCTTTTTCACAGTCAGTTTATGGATGACCATAGTCCTGGATGGAGGACTATGTGTTGGTAGATTGTTTTTCTTGTGTCTAACAAATCTTTTATAAGTGGCACCAATGTCTTTTTGTTTCCTGCACATTGTCAAGTCAAGGTACACTGAATGCTAACACTAATAATTTGCAAAAGAAAATCTACATATTTCATCACTCATTTGAACTTGGTTCTACTTCAGAGGAAGTCTCTGGGTTGAGAGCAGTGTAGATCGGTATAACCATATAAACAGTTGAGCATCTTATTGCTTGCACTCACGCTTGCACTTACGCACAAAGACTGCATTTGATGACAGGCGGTTACATCATAAAATATAGCACTGAAAGTTGATACACATTTGAAGTGAACCTCTCACTGTGTTTGTCCTAACGTGTATCTTTCTCAATGTTGACAGCCAATTTAATGGGGATGATAATGACGATGGAGAGAGCCACAGGTTTCTGTCAAACGGTATACCAAAGAAGAAGACATATGAAGAAGAATATGTAAGGATTTAGTCACATCAACTATGTATCTCCTTTTGACTCCCAATATAATCTGTTATATTATTTTTATATTTGGTTTTACTCACCATATAATGCATATGCACATGTCAACAATTCATCATCCTGTCTTCATAATTCAAGTAAATGAAAAGTATTAATTATACACACAGACGCACTTACTGTTCTACATCAATTTTTCATGTGTTCAGTTCACTGCTCATTATTTTAAATTAGACCACATGGCAGACCACAGTCTCTAAGTTGTTAGCAGTTATGAGATGCTGTAGGAGAGTGAGGTCAAAACCATAAGAATAGTGCAGAAGAACTGCAGCTTGTCTCCTAAAGCTTCTATCTGTCTGTAGGTGGCTTACTATGCCAAATGTTTAGCTCTTTCTTTTTCTAAAACAGGGCGCATATGATGCTAACATTAATGATTCATGTAGTAAATATCAATAGTTCATCACTCAACTGAAGGTAGTTTTACCTTAAAAAGCTCTTGTCTTTTCTTTTGACTTTGGGCAGCATCCTGGCCACGCCTCATTCGGCATGTCCGTCTTCAACTTGAGCAACGCCATTATGGGCAGCGGCATCCTGGGCCTGTCCTTTGCCATGGCAAACACTGGCATCATTCTCTTTACGTAAGTATGTTTGGACTAGCGGATATATAGTGCATTGTGTTACATGTTTGATAGAGATTAGGTGTTAATTTGGTTATAAATGCCAAAAACAATGATTGCTCCACAGGATATACTTTGAAAGATTATTCAATTTCAGTTCAACTTACTTATCAAATTACAAAATGACAACAACAATAACCTCAATGCACTTTATATTGTAAGGTAAAGACCCTAAAATAAAGCAGAGAAACCCCCAACAATCAGACCACCTCCTATGTGCAAGACCCTGGCAACAGTGGAAAGTAAAAACTCCCTTTTAACAGAAAGAAACCTTCGGCAGAACCAGTCTCAGAGAGGGGCAACCATGTGCCACGACCAGTTTAGATCGAGGGGAGGGAGACAGCACAAAATACATGGATTAATAATAACTAATGCAATTATAAGCTGAAGCTTGTTAGAGCTCCCTGTCAGTGTCACCCCTCCTTACAGTCCTGAAAAGAGACCTAAAATAAACACCGGTTAGCATTGCATTGTTCTCCACAGATTAATTCATGTCTTCTTAGAATTTATTGTAGTGGAGTTTAAGATGACAGAATTATGGGTTGGGCAGGAAAGACAAAGATTTTCTGCTGCGTCACTAGGTGGAGTGTTTAGTGTGTGTACTAACTAACTTATACCAAATGATGGCAGAAAGTTCTTTTCACTTTTTGTTAGAAAAGGTGACAATCGCGTGTTACCACAACAACCATGACAATTCAGCATTTTGGAATCTTTTGTATGGTATAATAGTGTGATAATTATGGTACAGCTAAGGCTGAAGGGAATGTCACTAATTTGTTTGGAAATCAGAGTGTCTGATTATTAATTGTTGCACTGACAAAGTAAAAATGATTTTTATGACTCTTTTAGATATAGACTGTGGTCACGTACCACTCGGATTAGGGGGCACCTGTTCCCCACGGGGACATCTGAGCTTCAGTGGTCAGTTCCCTCACCAATCTGGTCCCATGCATATGCATTATTGGACTGTGGATGACTTCCATTATCCAACACCCCCTAAATGCCCCCGGTGTACCCACCGCAACTCCCTCTGTCATCCACTGTCCACGCACATGGCTGCAGTCCAGAGCCTAAAAATGAGAACTAGCTGGGGGTGTGAAATAACTACAGGAAGCTGTACAACTTTGTCCCTCTTCCGTCATAATCTCACTGCTGACACACAGTATGGTATTTGAAGAATGCAGCAATGGATGTATTTGTAGCATTTACGTGACACAGACATTAGTCATGCTACAACCATGCCAAAGTCATTTTGAAAGGACAGAATCCCCCCCCACCGAACACAAACATGAGCCAGAGCAGCTTCAAATGTCATTACGTTTTTTTTAACAGCAAGGGGTAGATACTCAGTTACACAGTACCAATTTTTCATACTTCTACACCTCTCTCTCTCTCTCTCTGCGCAGAGTCCTCCTCATCGCTATAGCCATTCTCTCCTTATACTCTGTACACCTGCTCCTTGTGACTGCTAAGGAAGGAGGTTGGTATTTGCTCTTCAGAGCTTTAAACATTTTTAAATGTTACGACGTTAAATGTTATGACTGCTGATTAAGGGATTACAAGTGTATGTTTCCACAGATGATAACATTTTATATACAGTATTTAATTGGGAGGTTACTGTAGGTCACAGGGAGGAGTATGACGCATGAGAAAATGCTCGGACAAGTGATTGTAACAGCACAAAAAAGTAATTGCTGTTATGCCAACTTTCGTTGGAAATCTCCACACCCTTACCTAAAGGCATTTGAAGAAATGAGAATGAAGTAGTTATTGCAAAGATAACTTTTTTTTTTTACAAAGAAGGGGCTAAGTAAGAATTGCAAAAGAGACTGTGTAACATACACCTGATTGTCTAGTTAAGGCTGGTATCCTTAGTCACTCTCTCTGTTCTGGCAGGATCCCTCATCTATGAGAAGCTTGGAGAGAGGGCATTTGGCTGGCCCGGAAAAATGGCTGCATTTGGATCAATAATCATGCAGAACATTGGAGGTAGGCCCTAAATCAGTGTATTTCAATGAAACATATGTGTTTTTAATTGCATTACTGGAGCTACAATAATATCTGTAATGTGCACCTCTAAAGAAGTATTTGTAGTTTGCATGAAACCTGAAGTTGCCCTTGTTGTCCTCTTGCAGCGATGTCCAGCTACCTCTTTATAGTGAAGTATGAGTTGCCAGAAGTGATCCGCGCATTCCTGCACTTAGAAGAAAACTCTGGGTGAGAATGGGCTCCTCTAAAGATGAAGCAAACTAATGTTCGTGTGCCATCTCTTGTGGTCTAACCTTGTGTTGTGTTTGCAGTGAATGGTACCTAAATGGAAATTACCTGGTGCTGTTTGTGTCCGTCGGAATCATTCTGCCTTTATCCCTCCTCAAAAATCTGGGTAGGAACACAAGTGAAAACCGTCATATTTTCTCCTTCACATGTTTTGTAAACTTTATCCACTTGCTCCCACCACAGACTGACTTCCAGTTTCACTAAAGTTTCTAAAGTTCGCTTCCTGCTATGTCTCGCCAAATTCCTCAGTGCCTCCATGTTCTTGCAGCTGTCTGTAAAACATACAGACAGCTGTATAAAGCAGCAGACGGGATAAATTCTTTATGTTAGAACTGAATTTGTTGATGATGATGATGGTGGGGTTTTTTGCATCTGTCACTATTTAAATTTGTTTCTGCTCAGATCACACTTGGTTGGTGCGTTTCTTTAATAGGGCTGACAAGCAAGAGTGACACATATAATAGAAAAGGCATCAAAATGCATTAAAAACAGCTATCTAGGTTCAGAGTAAGAAAGGAACTCACTTTTTGTTTTCTCGTTTCTTTTTTAGGCTACCTGGGCTACACCAGTGGTTTTTCCCTCTCTTGCATGGTTTTCTTCCTAGGTGTGGTAAGTTGAGTGTGAGCAATCGTAATATGTGCTAATAATAATGTGATTAAGAATTGTATGTCAAGAGATCAGTATGAACATAAACCATCTGTACGTAGGTGTTTGTCACTTGGGGTATGTTAGCATCTTTCAGCTAATAGTTTCTGTGTTACGGCCTGTTGCCAGTTACTCAGATTTCCGATTTGGACTACTAACGGAGGAAGTAGATTTTTCTTTCTTTTCATATTTACTTTCCCAGGTCAACACTCAACTTGTTGCCTAAAAGAACAAAAGTGGTAGGGAAAAGGGTCAAATAATTTTTTTGTTACCACGTTTTAATAAATTTTAGTTGCAACTTCTTATTCTTGAAGAAGGTGCAACTAAAACCTAAGATACAGCCTCACACCTCAACTAAGCAGTAAAACAACCGTCCTTAAATTATTTGTTTTAACCCTTCAGTATGGTTGACGCTATAATGGTATCTTTTGGCATTTTCTTGCTAGGTAGTATGACAAAATTACACTAAATGCAAATTACAAAGATGACATTTTTTAACAATATTAAACTCTTGATTCACTGTCACTCCTCACGTGCACCTTCTTTGGTAAAGGAGCCTGCTTCAGTGAACAGTCTTGATAAACCCAGCATGTGCTACCTCCGCAGCATCAAAAAACAGATAATTTTAGCTGCTAACTGGAGAACTCAGTCAATTATTTAGCAACTAAGTTGCCAGTTTATTTTTCTATGGAGTTGAAGGAAACTAGAAAAGAGCTAAAAGGAGTTTGAAATCACTAAGTTGCTGAGATGCTAATGTTGCTCCGTATCTTTTGGATGTCGTAATAAAAACTGTTAGCTACTAGGTTAGCATACAATATGTGACAATTCTACTTTGAAGAGCACAGTCAGACTTCATGTCAATCTTTTTCAGATAATATACAAAAAAACCCAGCTACCCTGCCCTCTGCCTTTCCTCCATGGCCACTCATCCAATCTCAGCATAAATGGCTCGGACATGCCAGGGCTCTACGCCTTGCAAAACAAGTCTATACAGATGGATTTCTCCCACGCTGACATTTCCCCAGCAATCATTGGCAGCCACGATACCCAGCACTCCACGGGAATACACTCTGAACCTCACTCAGACGTTGAGGAGATGTGCACGCCGAAATACTTTGTCTTCAACTCACAGGTTAGTTCGTTGTACTGGTGCAGAACCTTTGATTGCCTTCACAGTCCATTGCTTATTTGTTATTTTAAGAGGTTTTAGCTTCTGAAATGGAGAACTGTTGGGTTTGTCATTGTACATGTGCAAATATTCACCATTGATCAGTTCCCAATTAATTAGACACTCCAAGACTTTAGTAAAGTTGAAGATAATCTTGTTGCTGGGGTAAAGTCTTGAAAACATGTACACAATGTATCATGGGGCTGTAGGGGTGGAATAGACAAGACACCAGTATGCCAAGCCAAGACATGTTTGACATCTTTGGTGCTGTGTTTTCGGCCTTTGAGTGACAAATGTTTTGTTTAATCTGTGGGCAAATATAATCATAAATCAGGGTACACATTTTAAATGTGGCATTATACTTCATAAAAGCGAGTTAATCCAAATCCAAACTTTGTGTAATAACAGCTCTTACAAATAAAATTTCACGATAATAACCTTTCACATAATTTAAGTAGAAAAATGAGACCGTTCAAAAGTAGCAGCTGGTAGAAGTAAAGGTCATTGTATTGTCTGCATGTCATGCTTTGATTGGAGACAAAGAAAGGAAACATATTCCGTGTCTTTTTATGCATACCAGTTTTTATGACCTGAGCAGACAGCAGTGCAGCACTGCTGTGTTCAACTGTCCAGTGCATCAGAAGTCTTAAATGCTGAGGAAAAGGTTTTTTAGTGCTCTCCCTCCTCTCTTTTCTCCTGAGGCTATATCAGCAGGCATTTCTGTTTTACAGCTACTTTACCCAGTAGAAGAATACTTCTCATATATATTACATCATGTTAATGGCTCGTTTCCGTACTTTTTTCATCCTTCCTTAGACTGCGTACACTGTTCCCATCCTGGCCTTTGCTTTCGTCTGCCATCCTGAGGTGCTGCCTATCTATAGCGAGCTTAAAGAGTAAGTATGTTACTTACATTTACATCATCACATCCTGAAAAACCATCAAACATCTTATACATACATTTAAATCATCATATGCTGACCCGTTGCAATGACGTCTTCCAAGAGAGAGGAAGCGAAGAAACAGTTAGTTCTCGATATTCTTGATGTGTTCAAAGCAAAAAAAAAAAGTTGATTAGTAATTCTGACATGGCAAAAATTGTGGTGTCTATGTGGGGTACTCCTAATGTGGATTAGTGGATGCCTCCTAGTAGTGGACCTCTGCCAGAGCTGGTATTGTTTACATTCATCTGGTTTCAGATACCTCCTCGTGCACTGCTGTCAGGGACTTTAACATGGATTTCTAATTAGCATTTTTCAGTAATACTGTCATTTGGGAAGTGCTAGTTGTGAGCTAGCTCCCAGCTACCGCCTCCACCTTATTCGAGGAAACACCAGGGCATTCTGAGGCCAGTCAAGAGATATAATCTCCCGAGGACACACTAGAGAGAAATAAGGGCCTCCTTCCAATAGGAAATGCCTGGAACTCCTCACATATGAGGTGTCCGGGAGGCGTACTCGTCACTTTCCCGAACAACCTCAACTGGCACCCAATCGCTAAGGGGGAGGCAAGTCCTTTGGAGAAAAGTCATTTCTGCCACTTGTGTCTACAATCTTGTTCTGTCGGTCACTACCTAATTTTAACAGACCACCTCCTGCAGAAGTGGCGTGATAATGGTGTTACTTCTGCAGGAAGTGGTTTGTTTTCGACACTTCCTTTTGTGTTCACCCTTTTGTCCAATCCTTATATTTCGATCGTGAAGTCACCTCTCTAAAAGTCTGTGTGTTTGCCATCTACAGTCGGAGCCGGAAGAAAATGCAGAATGTCTCTAACCTGTCCATCCTGGCGATGCTCATCATGTACATGCTGTCGGCACTTTTTGGCTACCTCACCTTTTATGGTATAAGCAACAGTTTAACCAACAGAAAAAAACGATTGGTTTTTGTTTGTTTTGTTCTGCCATTCCGTTCTTTTGTCTTGCTAGAATTCCTATTTTTCCATTTCTTCAGTCTCAGTATTTCTCACGGACTGCTCTTTTATCCCTCTGCATCACAGACAACGTGGAGGCAGAGTTGCTGCACACTTTCACTAAAGTGTACAAGTTTGACACGATGCTGCTGCTGGTGCGTTTGGCTGTCCTCACTGCCGTCACTCTTACTGTCCCCATCGTGCTTTTCCCTGTAAGTACAACCTGCATAAACACACAGTCTGTCTCTGTCTTGTCTTCTGGAAGCCGAAAAAGTTGCCTTTATGGTAAAATATCATGCCTAGAGCTTATTTCTAACCTCTTTCATCACTCGCCTTCATCATTTGGAGCCTCATTTAGGCAGCAGTTTAATTTGATTTACGTCAGAGCACACGAGCACAAACACCACGCCTGTAAATGTTGAACATTGCTGCCACTCTCTGTCAGTCTGCTTACAGACTGTGTTTTGTATTCACTGCAGTCATTCAGAATGTTTTGTTTTTTTTTTTTGTCATTTTCTGGACACAGCTGCTTTTTCCCGGCGTTGGTAAAAAAGAACACACTGTTCAGTTTGGAGCTCCATCTTGTGCCGTCACCTCAAAGCTCAAATGCACAGACGAAGGCTCTTTAAAAAAACAAAACTTTTTATCACATTAACGCAAACAGGCATACACACTGTAAGATTTCAGCAGTGAGGCCCGACTCTTTTTTACACCCATTTATGTTGCTCTTTCTCTCAGCATGAAGTCAAAAGTCTGCATGCGTGTGATTTCCAGTCACCACAACTTCACAAGCCACATTCATTCACACGTACGCTTCCCCTCTTACTTGCCTGTCCATACATGGTCAAGGACTAATTTTAGCTTGACCTTTATCTGACTTGAGGAGAACAAGAATGGCTGCTAGACAGAGGAAGTTTCCTGACCCGTTTTGGCTTCCAGGCACTCACGCACACACACACACACACACACACACACACATCTAAACTGGGTTTAATATAGAGAAGAGCAGCTGGGGCATGAATTCTTCTCGGAAATACCTGAAGTTACAGCAGACTGCCACCAGGGGGCAGGAGCATTCAATCAGAGGAAAGTGCTGATGGAGAATGATGCAGCAAGTGATGGCATGTTATGGAAACACACTGCGACACCGCACTCACACACACGCACACACATTTATACAGACACATTTCTGTACATCGGTGCTCTCTTACATACAGCCTACACATTTTGTTATATTTTAGACGCATGGATGGAGCTTATGCCCGCACAGTGCCACTTCCGCCTCAGTTCCTTTGTTGTGTTTTGTTATGTTAGAGGGGAATCCCTTCAGCCCCCTCAGTCTCTGCAGTGGAAGTTTACAGACTCGGAGTGGACAGTGGAAAAACCCCGACTCTAACTGCTGCCTTCCGGGCGATAGAGAGGTGGAGCCAGTGAGACGAGCTAGAGAAGAGAAACAGACACAAACCTCTGCCAGGACCGCACAGTCCTCCAATTGTGTAGTTTTGTTGATAAGAAATATGCATCTGTACCCACTCTGTCAATGAGGAAGACAGTGTAATGGACTTACTTTGTTAGCATTATTGTGTTATCGTATTGTATTATTGTAGGGTCTTCACCTTACAATATAAAGTGCCTGAGGCAACTATTGTTGAAATCTGGCACTATATAAAATACATTGCATTGAATTGAATTGAATATTGCGGCCATATGTGAAATTATGTTCAAATCATATCAAAAAACGTAATCCTGGGTATTTATGATCCATGTCTAGTCACTGTGTGAAACATATCCAGCTGAGTCCTTCAAGAGAAATAGAGAGAGTTTGACAGAGGACATAGAAAACTGATAGCAGCAGAGAAACACGAGACTGAAACGGGATGCTGTGATGAATTAGGAAAAAGGCAGCTATGCAGCCTTGGCTTGGAGTTAAAAAACTAATGTGCACGTGGCTGTTTTATCAGCGTTGAAGCTGTTACAAGGAGATTTCTTTTAGTTATCCTGCTTTGCAAACTGATTTTAGATTGAATATGCCTGCATGTAAAGACATGACACATAACATTAGTCAGTCTTGGGTGTACTTTTAACTGGTGACAGTGTGAATGAAGTGACTGGGAAAGTTGATTAACAGCGTTCTGATTAAAATACACAAAGTTGGGGAGGTTTTAATTAACTGACCATAACTATTCCTACAATCACCGTTGCCATAACACTGCCGGAAGACTGGCTAGATCTAGATCCGTGCACGGCGTCGGATCAAAAGAACTGCTCAGTCACAGCAACGCTTATGCCAAGTTTCCGTGTGGCATTTGAGAATCTTGTCTTGAATGCTCCTGACCTTCATTTTGTAGGAAAATGTGGCCAACCTTCAGCTAGAGACTAACTTTAGCTTTATCTGCAGCTGTCTTTGACTCCTGTAGAGGACTATAAGAGACGAGACAAGACTGTATGTGTGGGAGATAAATGTCCAGATAAACGTTCAAGCCTGAAAGTAAGAGTGTGTGTGTGTGTGTGTGTGTGTGTGTGTGTGTGTGTGTGTGTGTGTGTGTGTGTGTGTGTGTGTGTGTGTGTGCGTGCAGAGGGCGGTGCAGTCACGTGAAGGATAGATGCTTACAGAGGCCACATCACATAAGGCTTTGCCAGGATTCAGGATATAATGAAAGGGTTTTATGTGGAGTCAGACGTGCTCCAGTTCTCAGGCTCCAGCAGGAGATGGAAACCACAAAAGACGGCTGTAAGAGAGCTGATTAACACTTACAGCCAGTAATAACTTACTATCATCAACATAAAAATGTTCCTTTTGTAGCTCTGGCTTAAATACATGTATGTAAAGTCTTGTATGCTACAGCTGGTTTCTCTTTACTTCCTCTGCTCCTGCTTTAGTAATGTACATGTGACTGTGAATATTTGCAGATAGCCACTCAAGCTAAATATATTTAATGTGTCATGAGTGGTCATTTCTGGTGATTAATCCAGGCGTGTGAATGTCTTACTTTTTAATAGGTGTGCTCCTCCTAAGTGTGCTTCTGTAAACAGTTGTGTTATTTCAGTCCAGATGTGCTGAAACGCTTCCAAAAGAGCCGAGGGCAAACAAGCCTGAGGGGTCTTCTATTGAATTTAGGTTAAAAGGATGACACTGGTGTCATGCTGGAGGGGACAAACACCACCCAGACAGAAATTACACAACCTCAACACCCGAATGTTGTTCTTGCTGAAGTACAAAGCGTGTTCTGTATGTAAACCTCTGGGAAGGCAGGGCAGTCTGTGCCTCACACAGTGCAGTTGTTGTCCATCAGGATCGGTGTCACCGCTAGAGAGCACGGTTCACAAATATTCTTCTTAGGTTTGCTTGGCTGCATTAAAGCCTTTTGCCTAGAGAAGAAGTCATGGTTTGTAAAGCTTCAGTGGTTCTACAGCGAGGCAACACTTTTTTTTTACACATATATATATATATATATATATGTATATCCGAGAAGGGGCTTTCCTTACTGTGCTGCTTGTAGTTTCAGTTCACACTTGGTTTTGTCAGTCACACATTTAACTTTGCTCAGAAAAAGTCACATATGCTTGCCTATTTATTACCTTAGATCTTCATCTGTGGTTTGTTTTGGACTGACCGAAGCCTGGCCATACTGATAGGTTAGGAGTGCGCAGATATCAAAGGGTGCACTCCCAAGAGTCATAGTGCCAGATGACAGTCAGATGCTGAATAACTTGAAGCTTTGGAGTGAAATGCTGCGTCCAGGCTCTAGTTTTCCAAGCAGTCCTAATTACGCTGGTGGGAGTAAAGTGAAGGTATGGGTTGGGGCAGTGAGGAGGGGCTGTTTTAAAACGGCTAAGAGAGAAACTTGGGTTTGAATCGTTCATTTTATCTGTGCTGTGAGCCACTAGTTTGTCACAGAGAAGAAAGCACATGCTGGCAGCAACAAAAAAAGAGAAAAGGCGTAAAGACACGCCTCCTCCTCTTCCTCCCCCCCCCCCCCCCCGGGGCTGAGCCCGCCCTCCTCTCTGCACTGGCTGATGCAATCCCATAGTTCCATTGCGCTGCGGGAGATAATCCCAAACAGTTTTGAATGGGCGCTGTAAGCAGGGCTCTTTGTGACCTCTCTCCCAGAGGCTTACGGGCTAAAGGGGCCTCAGGTTTTACCTGATACCTGCGACCTTTCACCCAGTTCAGGCTTTAACAGGTTGCCTGTAGCTCAAGGATCTCCTGGTTTTCTCTGACTCACACACACACACAAGTTCATAACTCTTGACACACTTCAATCACTGGCCAAATGTGAGGAATCGGCTTCAGTCGCAGGCTGGCAGCCGTGCATATTTGTTAATGATTCGGTTCTTTGACTGAGACAAGAAGAGAGCAACTGACTTTAGTGTTGGAATAAATTGTTTTTATCAAACAAACGTTTATTTCTCTATTTACAAGAAAGCTGAAAACACTGTTTCACCACATTCATCACCACTATGTCACTGTTTCTCCTAGATCCGTTCGTCCATCACCACGTTACTGTTCAGCGGGCGAGAGTTCAGCTGGACTCGCCACTTGCTGATTGCCGCCTTCATCCTGGCCTTTAACAACGTCCTGGTCATCTGTGTCCCCACCATCCGGGACATCTTTGGCTTCATCGGTGAGTCCTGACACTGAGTGTGAACAGAGAGCAACATTTCTGCCCTTTCAAAAAGACACATGAACCCAGAGTGAGTCAGTGAGGTTTGCCGGTTCACGCCTGATTGGCACCTTCAGATGAGGGATTGTTTAATTGGATAAAGCCGCTGGAAGTACAGAGAAGCTTAAAATGTCAGGTTAAATCCTTACCTGGTGAGGATTCTCAGGTTTAAGATTGTCAGGAAGAACACTTTCCTACTCACCCCCTTTTTAATAAAGAGTTGCCAGCAGATGCCTGTGCACATGTTCTGTTGGAGCAAAGACGATCACTTCGAGCAAAGTTTAAAAAAAAGAAAAAAGAAAAATCAGCTCTGCAAAACTAATCCCTAAATCAAACCGAAGAGTACTACTTTGTAACTGAGTACCAGCACCTCAAATCAATACTTAATGGCATGCCTATAATATATGAGGCTTGATGCTTTATTAAAGGTATTTTAAAAGCTTATGTTATGCACCTTAATTATTAAAAAGTCTAAAAAACACAGCTGTCACTCAACGTGTCACTTAAAGAATTCCTCATAGTGATTGGTCTGGCTGTTTGTTTCAGTTGTTGTCACCTGATGGCAGATTCAGTTTTCCTCTCGGTTTAATTGCAGGCGCCTCTGCAGCAACAATGCTCATCTTCATCCTACCCGCTGCCTTTTACCTGCGCCTGGTAAAGTCGCTGCCGTTGCGCTCCCCACAGAAGATTGGGGTAAGTGTACAGAAACACACTCGCAGTGACACACAATGCTTTCTGCTGCTGTCTCACTGTATTGGCTTTCTCCATGTATCCACTGAGGGCCAGATGAATGTGATCTGCCAGAAATTTCCACAGACCCCTTCTTTCTTCTGTGTATCTCATCAAGCTGAATCCCTTCTTGTTCTGTCTCTCTCTCTCTCTCTCTTCAGGCAGCCATCTTCCTGGTCATGGGAGTCATCTTCATGATTGGCAGCTTGACGCTTATCGTTCTTGACTGGATCCACAACCCCCCAGGCTCTGGGGGACACCATTAAAACACTTTTCTACCGTCTTCAGTTTCCCATTTAGAAGTGCAGCCACTTCCTTGACTGCCCCACAGCAAATCACTTGTTTTCCGTACCCACTGGTTTCCTTCATTTCATCAAATCGTTATAGAACCTCAGGCTATAGACATGAGTGCAGCACTGGGTTAAGACATCTTCAGTATCCTCCCAGAAAGTCCCACTGGAGGGGATCCTTTTAGCTTAGTTTGTATTTTTTTTTCTTTTTTCTTTTTTTGGATGTGAAACGACACAAATGAAAGAATCACAACAAGGGGTACCGGTCTCTGGTTTAAAATGCCAACATGCCACCGAGACAGCTTTAGATCGTCACCATCATCTTGATGATCATTCTTTTCCAGCTAAGAAGAAACAACAATGAACAGATACTCTGCAGCCTGTACTTGAAGCTGGAAGGGCTGGAACGATCATGTAGGTCCATCAGTCCTCTGTGAACTTTAAGGAGTCTTTTGGAGTGTGCCATCATCCATGGAAAAAGGAGCACATCTAGCATTGTGTTCAGTAGTAGCTGTGTAAGAAGCCATTACTATAATTATTACTACTATTTCCTAAAATTCCTGCGGTCGATTAAGCATTCATCTCTTCTCAAAATGACGGTTGATGAGCAATTTAATTCCATTTTTTATTTGGGAAATTCAACATCGATTTGCTGCTGTGTTACGTATTAACAACCAGAAGCTTTGCCAAAGTTGGCATGCACAAACAATTTTCTTTAGTAGAGTTATGCTAGATATTTTCAGCTCCAAAAAGACAAGGATCTTCCTTGCTGGTCTTTTTTCATTTCGGCTGTGCACACAAGATTAAGTGGGTGCTTTCAGTATTACTGTTCACAGATGGATCTAAATATGCAAGATACGAATGTACATAATTAAGTGTATCTACTGACAAAATGGTTGTTGTATATAATATCTTACTTGGCCTCTTAAGGCTGTTTCCCATTCAGCTGGATGATCATTTCCAACTAGCAGTATACATATACCTGCTGGAATCATTATTAAGGCACATACAGTAGAACTCATGAGATAAACATTGAATTGTTTTTTTTTTAAATAAGTAATTATATGGGGAAAAAATAAGTATGCATTTTAGACAATTTTTAAAAAAGATCAGCTAAAAAAGATACATATGAATAGGTTGACCTAAATATTACAATTATTTTAACTCGTGCCATATTATGCTCAAGAAGAACTTTATTCGAATGTACGTCCTTTGTTTTTGTTTTTTTGCATAATTATATGCTATTTAGTTTGAAGTAATTGTTTGACACTTTGTAAAAGTTTATGAGTTAGATGCGAAGATTGATAACAATCTCATGTAGGCACGTTAAGTAGGAAGTTAACCTTTTACTGTCAGGCCTGTAGGGATTGAAACGCTCCATTAAAGTGTGATGCAATGCTTAAACATTTACGGATATATAGAAATTAATTTAAGGAAATATAATATTTCAGTTATTAAGCTTTAGAGGCTGTGGTAGGCAAATTTTAACTTTACGCCAAACCATGCTAGCTAGTCAGTCAATATGCTAGCGAGGGCTAACAAGTCTCCAGGTTCCTTTGTTTTTACTTGGCATATAAACGAGATTGTTATCAATCTTCACGTGTAAGTCTTGACAATTAAGTGAAAATGTTCCCTTCACACACAAAATATCAAAGAGCAGTAATTTTTAGAAGTAAGGGTGCGGTAAATAATAACTAACAAAGAATGCTTCAATACCTAGATGACCATGCTAAAGGTGTCAGCCATTTTTAAGTATGTTGTGAAGGGTGTCTACCAAGATCCCAAGTTGCAACTCCAGATGTTTTACCTCAACATCTAAAGCTAAACATTTGGATATCCCCTAGCAATATATTTTTTTATATATATATAATTCTTGATGTTTTTTTTTATTTAAAAGAATAATATACAACCAGTAATCGTATTCATTATTTTATTGTGCCTTCTGAATTCTTGGTATTGTAATTGGCTTTTGAAACAGGTGCCTTAAATGTAACAGTGAATGGCGGCATCACAACCTCAGACTTGTTCCGTTTCACCGCTTCTCCCGTGCCATTGCGAGTCACACGCAGCCAAAGTGGACAGCATTTATAGATCCTTTGTGGATCTACGTACATAAAAACAAATAGATATTTCAAATGAAATAGTATATAATGTGCATGTTTTTGGCCTACAAACATGGTCTTTTTGAACAATTGTATATGCTCTGTAAATAATCTTTATTTTATGGTACACTGACACTCATTGCTTGTGAGCGGGTTGATGGATGAATTCTACTTGACTTCTTCTGCAATCCGTGTTTGTTTTAGTTTCTAAGTATGTATTAGACCTTTTTTTTCTCTTGCTGTCAGACAGTAGTTTGTTCTGGGTTTTTTTGGTCCTATATTTGAAGCTTGTATATTTGTAGAAAAGTTGTTCGCTATATATCTGTTTTCATATTTTAACATTAACCTGTCGTCACAATGCATTAACTCAACAGCCTACTTCCCAACACGGTTTTCCCAGGAGTCTCAGAAATAAGGCAACTGGGTTTATGTCACTAGCTGACCGTCACTGGGTTGAATTTTAAAGCCACGATTAAGCCGTGTTGATATTAAACATGTAATTTAACACTCAACAAAATTAGGACGAGACAAGTATTTTATGACCACACTACAGGAAGTTTCTTACAAGACACGTTAGTCATCTGTTACAAGACCAAGTGGTTCTTTTGCTATTGCACTGTGCAATGCAGTGTAGCCATCACTTAAACTAACATGTACTGTAAGCGTATATCTTTATGCATAAGAATCTTCCACGTTCACCAGCTCAAAGCTTTACCAGGACAATCATACACCATTGCTGGATGTATGTCAGTGGCTTGTGACGCATTGGTGTCATAGACATCTTTAAAAAGCCCAGTTTTTGGTCAGGTTTTATTTGCAAGGCATTACTTGAATATTTTTACAGCCTGATAAAGTCACCAAGCTTCTCGACTAAAGGGTCACTTGACCCGTGCAGTACTCACTATCAATATTCAATAATAGGTGTTTGAAAATCTGCCTCACTCTCTCCTCTGGGTCTGTTACTAATGTAAGAGTTTTTCTCAGTTCCTCAGGATGAGTTTTGTCTTTTCAAGCAGCTCATCCAATAAAAAGAAGAGACAGCAGTTTTTTATCAGAAAGCTCTTTCAACCTACTTTAGTATCTCAGGTATTCAGTCTGGCTGAACTTTTCTTCTCACTTTCGGATAGACTCGTATCATATCTCTTTTCCTTTTTTGTGTGATCGAGCCAAGCTGTACAATGCCGTGCTGGTCTAAATGACAAGTCTTCTCATGGATTTGTAAAACAGACAAGTCCCCAGAATGTGTTTCGAAAGAAGGTGTAGAAAAACCACCTGCCTTATTTTTCTATGGAGCCTCAGCCGTGTAGAAGCACTGGCTTAATGTTTCTGCTGTTCACAGTGTTCCTATGGATCAGATTGAACATTCAGATTTGTAATTTTACCTAAACAAAGGGGATTTTTTTTTCCTTTTTTTTTGTATCGGTGATGCTGTTTCATTATGATGAACAATAAAAATGTGAAATAAAAACCATGTTTTTATCATTTTTTAACTTTTAAAATCATAGTTCTTTAAAGAAATCCAAAGCAAACGAACAAGTGGTAATAATAGAAATGCAGTATATTATAAAATGTTTGTAAATGTGGATATGGGAAAAATCCCTTATGTCGCTCCAGATTTTATATAACATGCTGGGGTGGGGGTGGGGGGGTTCTAGTTTGTGTCTGAGAAGGTAGTGACCAGAACCATATTTCTGTCATAACAATTAGATGGTATTGGGCCTATAGAAATAAATCTTCAATTTCCTGGATACCTAGCATCTGCTGCTGACATGTAACACCTGCTTGTAATGTCCCAAGAGTCAAAATGAGGAATGTTATAATCTTTCCATTTTTTTCTTTCTCCAAAGAGTTTTTCTCCTGCATTTTGCAAATACAGTAATAAAAATGCATAAATTTCATATATCTGCCACAACACTGTTGAGCTTGAGTAGTACAGTGACCAACAATACTTCATAATGGTTTGGAGTGACTGAATGTACTGATGCTTGTACACTTCTAATGATGTGCAATTCATTTTAAAAGGTTTTGCAGAGTTTTTATATTTTCCTGTGCCAATGAATATAAAACTACTTTAAAAAAAAAACAAAAAACTACTCTACAGTTTATAATTAAACTCATCTCCAGCTGGAGCATTAAAATGGCTATACACATCAACAAATCAATAATCCTAATTTAATAGAGCACTCAAAGGCTTTTAGAGTACAAGCACTTTACCATCTATCACACACTGTGTCCAGTTTAGAATCTCTAATTATCCTAACATGCATGCGGCTGAATTGTGGACAAAGGAAACCCACAGAGGCACAGCAGTCTCCGCACAGAAAAGCCCCCAGCTAATATTTAAACCAGGAATCTTATTGCTGTGAGGCAAAAGTGCTGACCAGTGCCATATGTTTCTGTATGAATACTCTTGTTGCTGCTTTTCTTTCTATTTTCTACTTGATGCTAAAACTTCCTGTAACTTAAGTGTCATTTTGACTTTCACTGAAACAAAGATTATTCTTAAAATAAAAATTATTTCACTTTGCAAAAGACATAAAGTTATTTTCTGACATTTCTATGCTCAAAGCAAATAACTGTATTGTACTTACCATAGTATTTTTACACCATTATTTTAACAATCATTAAGAACTCATTAACAGGCTTTAATTATGCAAGGACCTGGTGGCCCATGCTTCAGTTTTTCATCAATGCCATTAAAAATGCCTCTATGAAAAATTGTGTTGTCCAACTGAGATTTTATGTGTGAGCACGGCATCTTTACAAGACAATGCAGATTCCACCACATGGAAGTTGTAAATCTGGTTATGCCACACGTGTGAGCTTTGACCTCTGATTGACAATCTGTAGAAACCTCCCTTCACCTCATTGTGCTGCTCCTTTGCCTCATATAGCTGTTAAAACATTTTTGTTCTCTTCATACATAAATAATGAACCGTGTGCATTCATAGATTAGCATCCACAAAAATAGTAAGAATGTCTTTCAAATGCTCCCATTTCCCAGAAGTCCAGCTTGCTGCAGTGGCAAAGGGAAAGGATAGGATGCATGAGTAATAAACTGAATAGCACATTTATCTTCCACATTAGATATGTTAAGTAAACACAGGATATACAGCAAATATGACTCACTCTACACACCCAAATCCATTGTTAATGGAGCTTTTTATGAATAACTTAATTTATAATGTTTAGAACTGTGTAACCAGTCAGTAAGCCGTAGCTTGATGTTGCTATTTGTTGTTTCTGAAGAATGTAAAGCTTTAAATGTATTTAGATGGAAGTGTAATTGAAAAAGGGAGCAAATAAAACTGGATCAAGGTGTGCCACTCCAATGTAAATAATCAAAACAGACCTGCTTCTTGTGATTCCTGTTGCTGTTCTCTTCTCTTCTTTTTTCCTCTTTTCTGATTCACCATTCTCCACCAAGACGTTTCTTCTTAACTATATTCTTCTCTCTTCCTCCTCTTAACTCTTTACCTTTGGAACTAATAGTCCCCCCTTTCCAAAACCCTCTTTGCTTCCTGCCCCCCTCCCATACCACCCACTATCTTAATTTTATGAGGATTAGCTGTACCGTTCTGTAAATTCCTGGAATACACTCACCGTTAATAACCTACTATCTGTGTGGGAAAGAGGCTCAGCACAGCACCACTAAACTGCTGAGAACTGAAGTCACATTACCCAGATTTTTTGACCTGAGAAAGTACCTGGCCATAATTAAAAGTTCCCACCATGATCTAATAAGAATTCCAGTTCTGATCATCAAATTCTCCTAATGCAGCTTATAAACCACAAAGTGATTTATCTGGTATGTTGGGTGTGTAAGCAAACTCTTACAAGTGTACTAGACCCGATCGCAAATGTGTTACATGTGAAATATGCTACTTGGCTTCTGTTTTGTGTCCAAATATTTTGTAGAAGTAGCTGCTAAATGAGTCATCTAGTAGGTGATTAGCTATGTCAAGCTAGAAGCTAATTTTCTCAGTGCTTTGTAGGTGTAAAACTACAAATGTGTAACAGCTTTACAATTTCAGTATAAAAACTAGAATTATAACCAATTAAGTTACAATTTACATCTATGTGTGTCCAGATTTACATAATACTTGCTTCATACCAGGGATGGGCACCTCATGCAAAACTACTGTTCCTTATTTGCAACAATAAACCCCAAACCACTCCAGATTTGTGACATGCTAGCTGTATTTGATAGAATTTGTACTGGGCCATCATAACTTTTTGACAGCTTTAAACATTTCTTTTGCATTAGCATCTAATCTCACCACTCCACACACCACACCACTAGTGTTTTTGTTCCATGCGCAATACTGTCACACTCTTGGCAGGAGTAGTGTATTTCCAGTATAAGGAAAAGGGTTTGTTTTTTTGTTTTTTTTAAAGAAGCTGCATAAACTATTGGAATGTTTTATGATTGAATTACTATGCAATTATATAATTCAAAATGCATGATACTTCAAAATGCATGATCATCGTCTTCACAATCTATTTTGTGAGTTCACATTGCCAATTGAGAACCAAAAGATAATCAGTTCATTAAATCAGTCGGTTCATGTGAAAGTTTGTGACAAATTTGAGGAAATTCCCTCAGGATGTTCCTGAGATATTTTGTTAACAACTGAACAAAAGGACAGACAACTGAGAACATAATGCCTCCTGGCTATAGCTGTTGCCAATGTGGAGGCATAAAATCCCCACAACAGCTCATCTGAGTCATGTGGCAAAGTTGTCACAGTAGTTTTCTTTCTAGCCACATCCTTCAGATTCTCCTGGGGGAACACAATACTAAGTCTTAGCCCACCTGGGTCTATGGCTAAAAGTTATTTGCAAACATTTACCAATACCTCCACAACGAATGTGAGAAGCATTTCATTTGGGAGCTTCCATTTGGCTCTGTTTACATTAAGATTCTTCCAGATATTTGACCCCCCCCCAACATGCCATAAGGGTGAACCCAGAAACTAATTCTGGACATTTGTGTCTGTAGTATAATCCTTGCAGAGGCCAAATCCAGGTCTAGAAGTCTGGAGACTCCTCATCCTGTGTATGAAAGCTCCTTGTAATAAAACTGCTAACATTTAAACTAAAGAAACAGTAATAATACTATCTCCTATCATAACCAAGGACACCTTATACTATGCTACACAAATATGCAGTATATGGAAGCTACAGTATTCATTTACATACACTGCACAGCATGAAATCAAATTAAAAATAGTGTACAAAACATATGCCATGATTTTCAGGTTTATATGCAGCCCTATAATGATACACTGATCCTATTTCAGGGGGAGCCGATGCCACCTTTCTGGACATGCCCCTGGGTGTGTCTGACTGATGAGTCATTCTAATTACTCATATATTACGGTCAGTGTGTTCAGAAAACTCATTTTAAACTGTAACATGTCTCCACACGTTTTTGATCTCCCACTGGGTTTGCTCACTTACAAAGAAATGAACAGTCTCTTTTTTTGACAGTTTTATGAAGGAATATCAACCAAAAGACCAGAAAAAACATAAACATATAAAAGTTATAATCTAACTTCCATGTCATTGAGTAAAATGAATATTTGTGTCATGTTCGCGTACCGGCAGGCAAGGAGAAAAGGACCCAAAATGCAGGTTTCAGTGAGGCGAAGTAGAACTCAAAATAACCGCTTTATTAGCAGGTTGCCGGTAAACAGAGTCCAAAAACAAACCAAAAACCCAGGTGGTCAAGAAAAACAAATCCAACCAACAGTTCAGGGGGCTGACCCGGAGGCCGACAGTGCAGGAGGCCAAAACAGTTCAGTTCCGGGGGCCGACCGCGCGGACGGCAATGGCGGCGTGGAAACAGTTCTGGGGCCAACCATGCGCACGGCGGCAGCGGCAATGCAAGTCCAGAGGCCGGCCACGCGGAAGGCAGTGGCGGCGTTCAGGAGGTCCTCCACAGTGGCGTAGATGCCCAACAAGCGGCAAGGCAGATGGCCGACGATGTTGAGGCGGCAGTTGGGGACCTGAAGGCTGCGTGCCCCCCGCAGCACCAGGCGAGGTGGAGGCCAGACCAGACGAGGCTGAAGCGGATGCGGAGGCCGGACCAGGCGAAGCTGAAGCGGAGGCCAGACCAGGCGAAGCGGGCGAAGCTGAAGCGGATGAGGAGGCCGGACCGGGCGACGCCGAAACTGATGAGGAGGCCGGACCAGGCGACGCCGATGATGCTGAAGCTGATGAGGAGGCCGGACCAGGCGACGCCAATGATGCTGAAGCTGGACCAGGTGACGCCGATGCTGGAGCTGGACAAGGCGACGCCGATGCTGGAGCTGGACCAGGCGACGCCGATGCTGAAGCTGGACCAGGCGAGGGTGAAGCCGGAGCTGGACCAGGCGAGGATGAAGCCGGAGCTGGACCAGGCGAGGATGAAGACTCGGAGGCTGCAGCTGGCGAGGATGACGAGGCTGCAGCAGGCGACGGCGA